CTGAAGATGGAGTAAATCTCCGAAACGTCGTTTGTTAATGAAATAAACATTTAAAAAAAGTCTTACTGTGGTCTATATATTGAACACAAAATATACTAATAACATGAGACTTAGGGAAAGTTCGTTCCTAAACATTTTGAATTTATTTTTTTATTATCCACTTTTTCGGTGGATAATAAAAAAATACCGGATAAAACCCAACCTGCTTGCGTGAAATAGCTCCCGTGCTACGCTGCCCCCACTTTTAAACAGGCTCCGCGGTCCCTGAAAATGTCCAAATCAATTTGTTTAATTTACTAATAAACTAAACGTCTAATTTAAGGTACAAAATTCGAAATAAAATACAAAAATAGGCGAAATATAGCACACTGCTGGGGGCTGGCAAGATATTAGTCCGTACTGAGAAACATGTGTGGGTGTAAACTTTAGTGTTAAAGAGTATAAAGCGATACCTGAATCGACCAATACCATCAACCAAGTCAAGAGGGGTCATCTGCAAATAAGATAATAGGGTAATATCACTGCCGTTTTGAATATCATTGATATAGAGCAAAAAAAAGTCCCTGAGATAGACCCTTGAGGGACACCAGTAGTTATTCATTTATTTGAATTCTTCCTGATCAGTATATTTTACGATTTTCTTTGTGTTTGCCAAATAATATATTTTTGAACCATATGGTAATTCACGAAACTTGTCTCTGAAAATCAGCCTGAATATTAAATTTGAGGACAGAAATCCGGCTGAAATCTTATGTAGATTTTATATATAATTTATGCCTTATTTCGATCATTCTACTTGACTACTTCCAGTTTTCCCTTGCTTGGCAGGTGACTAACGATTTATTCGTCTCAATCATCCATCTGAATGCGAATTGGTCGACAGTTATCAAATCCACACATTGATTTCATCATAGCCAGGATCTTTATATCTTTCAAATAGTATTTCATCTAACAACTCGTTTTCAGTGATAGCTAGCTATAGGTTACTTTTATGATTCCTACATGATAAGGCATTTTTGAAACATAATATGTCTGAACACGCGGTAATTTTATTTGCTTATACTGTGGACCAATATAGAATATTCATTAAATTTATTAGCCATTTGTTATGGTTCTTTTAAATCTTCAGTTGAGGTAGTAAAATTGATTAGGCAATTCCTTTTTATTATTGTTTTTCTTTAGTATTCCAGGTCATTTTAGTCACATTTCATAGTGTCTTTTACTCACATGATTTTTACTTTGCAATTTTACTCAAGCTTGTTTTTAATTTTATACCTTTTGTATATATGTGTTTACAAGACTTTTTATTAAGCCAGTTTTTCGTTTGTATAAACTTTGAAATGGAGGTAGTCATCCATTGAAATTGAATACGTGATACGCAACCACCTCACGTAAAAAGATTGAGAGCATTAATAGTTGTTTTTCAACTTTTAGGCGCGGTCGTCAACAGGCTCACGTCTATTGATAGAATAACAAGTCGTTAGACTTAGAGATATATATTTATTCGATTCGTCAAATAATTGTTAAAAAAATGCTAGAATATTGTCTTAAATTCAGAAATAAAATCCATTTACTTTATGTGTTAGTTTGGATGTGATTTGAGCACGTTTTCGTTTAATATTTCCATGCAGGCACGAGTCATGCGGAGTGTCTCATAGTGTACAAGAACTCGTGTAATTGTAAATATAATCCTTTAATTGTTATTCCTCTCACCAATGGGTATAGCTAAATGACTAGAAGGTGGTGGCTATTAAAATTGGGTGTCAAAATGTGGGGTTTGAATAAATGTGCTTAGGGAGTGGTCATTATTTATGGGGAGGGGGGGTTGGGAAATGGGAGGAAGGGCAAACGTTGTTTTACCCTTATAAATAGGGGAGGTCAAAAAAGTTTTAACACAGAGAAAGGG